TTATTACCTTTTATTTATTACCTTTCTCAATAGGAACACGCCCAAATTGGGTGTGTTCACAATAGCCTACATACGGGTATATCCTCGAAAAATAATTTTATTACTAAAACAATACTTAATAATATTAATGATAAGAAGATATAAAAATAGCACTATTTTATGATACATTTTAATTCAAACAAATACATGTGTCTATTGGATTTGTTGCTGGGCAAAACAATTGAAGTCAAAATTGTAAATAATAAATTGTGGTATCGTATGAATTACGTTAAAATAGTTAGTTTTGCGTACAAATTTATAATATATGCATTTTTATAACATTTTAGAAATATTTTTAAGTACACCAGAATAAATTAGAAGAAGAACACAAATACAATTTTTAATAAAACGGTGAGAAAGTAACAAATAATTATAAATATTAATATATTATTAATTAAACAATAAAAAATTAAAAAAAAAAAAAAAAAAACTATTAAAAGTTGTATCATCTAAATTTTTGTTTTCGTTTGCTTAATTAATGCAAAAAAGTTAATAGTTAGTCGTCCCACGAAACCACAATAATTAAATATTTAATCCATTTTTCTTCTTAACTATCTACGTATAGATAATGTTGTTTAACTATATTTAATACATTTATTGTTTAAATTGTATTACCATAAAATAAATACATAACATTATCGTAATGTTTATAATAAACACAAAATCTTAAACTCGTAAATAACGTTTAATTAAGTATTTAAGTATCAATTAAATTAGATAATTATTATTGATTAAATTTAATTTACCTTGCAGTAGGCACATAATTTGTATAACACCAGTAGACATTTAGAAATCAATACAATTTTAAATTAAACATTAATAACAAAGTACATATATAATTCGGTAATAACCCAATACGTTATTAATTTGAAATAATTTTAAAAAATTTAGAAAATTATACACCCCATGAAAAATAAATCTTTAAATTATTCAATAATATTTTGGTAGTAAAATTACATAAACTAATAACTATTTTTAAGTATGAAGTCGGTAAGATAACTTTTAACCATATATTTATCGTAAATTGATTTGATGAACCTATAACAATTTGTAGAGTTAATAAAACCATACATATTTTATAAACACAAACTTGTCTATAGGTATAAAGTTATCACTTATTAGTTATTATAACACATTTATTTTAATTTATTGATTTTGTTTATTATGAAATGATTTACATCTAAGTATAATAGTATAGGTACGTATGTTTTAAATGTCCATGCTCTAAAAATAAAATCAATGATTTCGAATTTATATTGAAGCAAATTGAAGATTGAAGATTATGTAAAATTTCCTTTGAATTCTTAAATAATAAATTTTAATGTCAAGTTTGGTGTTAATATATAATAAATTATAATAAATCGAAAATTGAATAAAGTGAGGTAACATTTTTATGAATATATTCATTATGCACCACGCATCACTTAGACAGCATTTAACATTTAACAGATTACAAAAGTAAGATACAATGAACAACTCATTTTAACAGTTTCCTAAAAATGTCTTATGATTATATTTAAAACCTTTTAGTATTTAAAACACTAAAAATACATTTTAAAATATACATTTCCTAATTTTAATGCTTAACTTTATTTTAAAATGAAAAAGGAATAAAAACGATTCGTTTGAATACAATTACGTTCAAATGTATTTATAACGATTTTCACGCATAAGATTTATTAGTATGATATGAATATTATTATTTTTTAGTTTAAAATTAAAATATTCAATACGCTTGGAAAATTGAAATCTATTTTAAACGGTAGTACTTCTTTTTTTAACAAATTCAATTTACCATTTCGATAAATTATTATTAAAAATATTAATTCTACATGAATGATAAAAATCTATAAAAGTAAGTTTCAGTTCGGTAGGTATGTTATTATTATATATTATATATTATTATTATTATATTGTAAGTGTATACTTATAATTCAAATGTATATTTAATGTTTTTGGTTAATTTAAAAATGTTAATATTAATATTAATAAATCTATAAACAATAATAATTAATATTTTATACACCTATTAATAAATATTATAGAAATAAATAAAAATAAAAACATTTCGGATACCCAAATTTTAAGATATGAATAAAATTAGAAATTTTTTTTTATTATACAAACATGACTTGAAAAATCTAGATATTCTGAATTTACAAAGAAATCTTTTTTAAGGTATATGAATATCATATTTGTATGGATTTAGTATTCTTTAACATTAATACCAAGAACGACGGGAATTAGAGTATTAAAAAGTAATAATTCTAATCATTTTGGACAATTAATTTCTCTTTGTACTTTGTACCTGTTTATAGTTAAGTTTATAAACTTAAATAATATTTGACGACTTCCTTTTTTTGCTAACTTCATAATATACTACTTACCGGTTGTAATATCCATGTACAACAGGATGCAGTATCGTCAAAATGGTTTTTTATTTTTGATTGCCTGTATATAATGTTCATATTGTTCCCGCGATTACGATATCACACTTTGAATGTATGCCCATGGAACTATTATAATTTATCATAACACCGTTGGCCCACTAGCCTTTGATCTCTTATGAATCGGAAGTATGCCAGTGCAAAACAAGTTAGCACGGACATAACACTACATATTATTATTATGTACATTCATTACGCTAAACCAAATAAAATATTTATTAATTATCATAGTTTACTAATCAAATATTTGTACATAATATTGGATAAGATTTTGTATTTATTAATCGGATAAATACATATTTTATTGCTGTAAAATTCGATTAGTGCTAAATTTTATATTCACATTCAAATTACTACTAAAAGCACAACGAAAATGTTAATATTTTAATTTAATTAACCATTAATGTTTTTTAACGCACCGGAAATTAAAATGCAATACAGTATATTTTGTTCTATATACAATTGAGATTAAGTTCTGTGGAGGTAGATAGTTTCAAAATGTAATATGTACTAGTATACATGGTATTATTTTGAATATGTATCAAATGTATATTGCGATCATAATACTGTAAAATGAGTAATAAATTTATTTATCAACTTAAATATTTCAATCATAAAATAATATTAGTTCAACTTTAAAATCTACTCCCTATATATACGATATGTATTATTATTACATAAGAACACGTTTACTTATATGTACAACTTAATGTGATAAATGTAAACAAACATTTTTATTCTCGTTTTCTTTAATAATTTAAGAAAAGTTATAATAACATAATACGTTAATATCAAATACATAATACCTAAAACTAGTAAAAACAAAAAATAAATGAAACGATGTATGTTTAAGTAAACTATAATTTTAATTTATTCTTAAAAAATCATTTATATATATATATATATGTATATCAGCAAAGTTACATGAAATATAGTAACTGATTTTAAACTTTAAATAAGTAAATTTAGTTAGGACAAATGACGTAAACAATTATACTTAATACATTGTATGTTCTATTACTATATTGCATTGTAAATATTCAAAACAAAAGTTCTGAGAAAATTGTTTACATGTCTAATCTAAAAATAATGAATACCTACATATTATTGTTATATTATATTATTATTAAATTACAACATTTTTAATACGCATCCATCATATTGACTATTGCAGAAGTAAATCTAATCTTATTTAAATTTTTAATACGATTCACTAATAAAAAACAATCTTTATTATTTAATTGTATAATCCTTATTATTGGTTTACCATAATTTCGTGTAAAATATGTAATAATATTAATATACTAAAATACTTATTTAAAGTATTATTCAATTTACATATATTTATAGTTTATATTTAAACGGTAATACAAAAAAAATATAGTTTATCAATCTATATTAAAGTACCTTTTTATTATTTTAAAATACATGTAGGTGCTTTATTTAATTTAATTATGATTCCTCTCTAAATAATATAATAATCATGCCAAACTTTCGTTATTTTTTCAAAAATAGTTTTAAGACTATAATAACGTTTACAGTAATATTTACTGTTTACTGCAGTCTTTGATATTTATACTAAACACGAAGTTATAATAGAATTTTTAATTCACAAAATTAAGCGTCTTCTACAATAATTGTAATAACTGAGAAACAATAACTAAAGTATTCTAGATTACACTATTCAAATTACGAGTATAGTTATGGAATAGAAAAATGTATGATTAATTTTAAAATTATCCATAAAGAAGTATAAAATTTTACATTACATGATTTAATGACGATGAGTTTATACAACTTGACTGAATAATTATTAGTTACTATGAACTTAAATTTGAATCATTCGAGAAAATTATTTCAAACAAAAAAAATTATAATAATTCACACCTGATGAAATACTGATTAAGTATTTTTTTGAATACCTATAGTATGGTGTTCTTTTGTTAAATTTTTACCAAACTACCAAGGTATTTTACCTCGACCGCTGAATGTTTAGACACATTGACCCAAAAGCCAACACGTTTGGGTACAAATAGACACAACGTTTGAACACATAAAATAAAAGATATATTATAATTTTACATGGTAAATCAGAGAACGTTTGGCTACACAATACGCATATTATACAAGACACGTTTGGGTACACGTGATCTACAATAGTGATATACTATATTTCCAAATCAATTAATATCATTACTTATATTATTTTGATTAGGTATTCTATGAGTATTATCGTAATATATGCGACAACAAACTTATACGTAATTGTTATCCTATATAAAATAAAGTAATTAATGATAAAAAATAAAATAAACATTTTTGGAGACTATTAAGAACCAACCTCCTCGCGGAGTCTCCTGGGTAACTCTAATAGGTTCTAAAAATAAAGTGTAAGAGTATCAAAGTAAAAAATTTGCACCTAAACATTGGTACCCAAATGTAGTATTGTTTTAAAAATATTTTGTTACCCAAACGTTGTATTGATTTTTGGGGTCTGAAAAAAAGTGTACCTGAATGTGTATTCCCAATCATTCTACTAAATTTCAGGTAAAAATATCGTTTTGTGTCCAAACGTGTACGACCTTTACCTCAGTGACTAACACCTACGTCCTACACTAACACATATTTTTTCACGATGATACAATTAAAAAAATATATTATGTGCTAACTCAATCGAAATATATAAATAAATATTTATCGACGGGTTTTTAAAAATAAATTCGCAGACATAGATAGGTGACGACAGCAAACGTGTATGGAATTAAATCATTATTTTTTTTTTAAGTATATTATTAACTCGGGTAAATAATTATCATGTACTTTTATTTACTTTGTCTACATTTATCTGATTTTAATTAATTTTTAAAATTATTATTATTATTATTTTTTTATCAGTAAAACATATCATCGGGGACATTTGTGTCACTTTTTGTAACCCCAAACCTCTAGTATAAGCGATTCCCTAAATATATACAAATTCAAATATTATGCACGTATATGTTAATTCTCAAAATAAAACTCACTAGATCCGTATGAAATATGTCTCAGTCAGTTATCTTGACAATATTAATATATTACAAGTAAACTCTGGTAAAAATTGTATTTTTAAAATGTTTTAAATACGCAGACTGAAACATAAACACAAAAACTCCATTTTTAGTGATACGTATTTAGCAGTATTTTGAGAAAAATTGATTTTATGATTTTCCTATCAAGTAAAAATATTTACAAATAAAGCAACAGCCAAATTTTTTCTGTGGGTATTAAATATTAATTATTATAATAACGCAAGTTTAAAATCTAATGAACGTATTTTCGTATTTTCGTATTATTATGTTTTAAAATAATTATTAGCGAAATATATTATCCCAAGATAGAACATATTCACGCCAATACTCGGTGTCAATGACCATATTATATTATCGATACGGGAAGTTATAGCATTTGATTAATGTTATAATATCCAATGACAAACTAATTATTATTAGTGAAAATTTCTGTTTCTGAAATAATTATCTTACGAGTGGATCAAACAAGTAAAATGAGACGACTTTTGTATACAATTTAAATTACTCTTTGAAGTGGATCTAACAATACAATTAATATATAGTAAATATTAATATCGTAATGATTGTTCGAATTTCTCACGCAGATTAAATTTCACGTATTAATAATATCAACTATGATAAGTATATATTTAATATTAAGTTCTATAAAATATATGTAGTTTGTGTCAATTCATGACATTAACGATGGTTGTTTTAGACGGGTGACCTAATGACATAAAAGATAAAATTGACAAAGTGGGCGAAAAGACATAAATCCCTAGACCTTAATACATCTACACTAAAGATTATATCTGATTAATTAACATTATAAATTTCAAACGTAATTTTAGGAGTACAATAATATTATAATAATAATAAAATTTAAGGTTGAATTAACGTGGTTATTGGTTAATGTGATTATCTCGAATATTTCAAAGTCAGTATTATTATACTATTAATTTATTATATATACCTAATTTATCAGATGAATAGAATCTCTATCAAGTGTATGCAAATATTATGTAAAAAAATATAAAATACAAAATATATACAATTGCTTTTCAGTTATTACATGGAATTATTCTCATTAATCAATTTAACAGTACATAAATTTTCAATGTATTTATTGATTTATTATTTACTCGGTAAACATTTTATGCGAAAATACACCTACTAAAATAATTATATAATATTGTTTTCAGTAAAATCAAGACGCAATCATTGTAATCATCTCTCAGAACTTTCAATCACGTTTTAATAAGAACAAAGAAATAACGAACAATTTGGATGATATGAATCTAAAAAACGAGGTTTAAGGAAACGTTTTCATGAAAATTTATATTATTTTCCTAAATAGTATTTTTTGGTAACCATTAGTCACAGCAATGTAATAACAAATAATTCACCTTCATACTATTTTCATTAATTCCCTTATGAATAGATGTTCTGTACACACGAGTAGTTTTTATAGTGAGACAGGTCCCCAAAGCGTGAATTACTGTTAAGTGTACATATATGAAATTACTAATTTTACCAATAGAACACTTCAGTAACTTTGATACATCAAAATACATTGGAATCGAATAAATCAACTTTAGTAATCTAACACGTTGTAAATAACCTAATGAAATGAAGAATAAAGTAATGATAATGAATCGTAGGGAAAGAATATTTTAATCACAAATTAATCACATTATTTACACTTTTTTTCGTGCCAAAATATTAGTTTAAAGACGTACAAAAAACATTTATTAATTGAATCATTTCAAAAACTGAACGCGAAGCTTGATCATTAGTTTTTATAATTTTTACAAATCGTACATAACGAAATTAAGTGCCTATCTATAAAATATAAAACAATAAACTTTAATATAATATATTTTAAATTTATAAATTTTCAGCAACATATTTTCGTGTCTTATTAAACCTCGACGTGATTAACTATATCATGTATAACTTAATATGTAATTAATTCATTCCTTTACAATACAATTTAATCAAACATACCTTTATAATTATAGTACACAATTTTCATAAAATCACGAAATGCACATTCAACGTTTAGATTTATTCAGATAGATAATATTATAATTCGTTTGACCAAGTACACATATTATAATAGTTTTCTTATTATAGTTATTTGTAATGTTTCAATTGTTTTTTCTGATACATTAATTTTATATGCTTCGAGGCAGTTTTTATGTTTTTAAAAAACGTTTAAAATCGTGTAAAATAGCTGTATTAGTTTTAAAAACTTGATTACAAAACTGATCGTCTGTAGATACGATATTTCTCATGCCAAGGTTAACCATGCCAAAAAATTATACATTATAAAAGAGAATATATTAAGATTAACTGCATTTAATTGTCACAAATCATCATATTGACACAATTTATATTATAATAATGTTTATAATGTGTATCATTGTTTTGTTTCCAAAAAATTCATAATTATTCTGATCAGATGCCACCATTGATGCGACAATTTAACAAACCTAACCTAACCTAACCATGCTCCCAGATTTATAGCATATATACATTAATACTCAATATGTATTAAATAGATGATCTATATCGTGGATATACCAGCGACGGCCGGTGATGCAACCCTCTCAGCTTTCCTTGGACTTAAAACGCTAGCGGGTTATCCGTTGGATGCGGTAGATGCACCTGCATTAATCATGAAAGAGAACTCCGTTTTCAAAGTACTTCACCGGGGATTTGGCACTCGACGAAGTGTATACATGGTAGAAGAGACGTGTTACTGCCAAGTCGATGGCCCGCAACGACACATTTGGATTATTTACGAACGGCTACCGCGGTTAGCAAATGTCGAAAGTAGGAGAACTGCGATTTTAGTCGAACTGGAACGGCATTGTTGTCGGATAGGTCAATAGATGGTCTAAAAAAAGCAACTTTAAAAGGCTACTAAAAAAGTGCGAAGGTGCTATAAAAAAAAAAAAACCGGCCACACGTTAAATCCAACATAATATTATTATACTCTTCCATTTTAATATAAATTATGTAATCATCTGATTGAACGACGAACGGTTGTAATATTTTTCTTAAAACGAATCTACCTGTGTAAAGAAAACGTATAATAAACAATTTTATATACCAAGAATACAACGTAAGAGTCTACTGCCCATGGTATGGATATGGACTGCCCTATTATGATATTATTGATAACATTATTATTATGTATATATGACACCTTCAGCCTGACATTATTGCAATATAATGTGATATCATTTTAATTATAACACATTGGACAAACAAAAATCAAACCGAAGTGAATATCATATGAATACATTCCGTGTCAAATTTTAATATCTACTTAACATTTATCTCCATGATCCCTGTTCTTAAAAAAAAAAAAATATGTAAGGTTCGCCAAGAACATACCGCTGACAATAACTAAAACTGTGTAGCATGTGTCTAACGGCATTTACTAATCTTAATATACACAGTAATATTATGGAAGTTTCAATTATAATCCACAACTCACCATAAATTCCATCAGCCAGAGATTAGATATTTAAAAGAAAATATTTTAATATGTCCATTAATAATTTAAATAGGTTTTACACTTAACTTATTTTATAATATTTATATTTATACAATTTATTTAAGACCAAATCGCTTGAAAAAAACTGAATGCAAGTCTTATTTTTAGATTTGAAATTTCTTAACTTATTCAAAATGAAATTAATAAAATAAATTGTAAATATAATTTCATAAAACAATTTAAAGTATTTACTAAATTCATCACTACATCAAAAATCTACACTTATTTCAATATGAATTGATTTTTTTCATAAAATTAAAACTATACATTCGATGTTTATAACAATTTGAGTTTTTTTTTTCATATAATATTATTATATTTTAATAATAATCCATAGTAATATAAAACTAAAACTTCAATCACTTTGAATCATTTAAATAACTCATATTTCATCTTAAATCAATACTTTTTTTTATTTTCAAACTACCTAAAATTAATTTATGTATGACAATTTTCAAAACTTTTCTACACGACCTAATTTAAATATAAAAATTAATTAGTTTTGTGGTTTTGAAAATTAGTGTGGTTTTGACATTTTATTTTAATTTCATAACTAAAACTTTTAAATAAAGAAAATGTTTAAAAGAAAATAATTGATTGAATATTGATAAGATATTTAAACTAACATTATTCTTTATAACATATAATACTATTTAAGTCATGATATTGTTAATAAAAATTTTAATGTACTCGTATCTCTTTTGATTCTAAATGTGTCTATGAATGCATTAATTTCACAATGATGTGTGTTTTTATTTATTTCAATTTCTATATCTATAAATACTTTTCTAATAGAAAAATGCTTTGATAATTAATCTAAATTGAAGTTATTTGTAGAAAATTGGATATTTGGTACGTTGGTAGATCAAAATACTTGTTATATTCTTTCTTATAAAATAAATTGTATGTATAAAAAAAGGTATGAATTATAGATCATACAAATATGCTTCATAAATTAGTTACCAATAATGTGTCTTGATGTTATGCATTTATATTCATCATAGAGGCCTACGTGTCTGTGTCTTTTCGTCCAGTCTATCGTATTATAATATCTCTCTGTAAACCTATTGAAGGTAAAATAAATTTAAAATGATATTTAATAATTATATAACCGTCTTTTATCTATATTTATACACACAACATTATGTGAATATTTTAGTGTCTTCAACACAAAAACACGATATATGATTTCCACCAATATGTTAAAAGATCGATCTAAGAAATAATAATTATTACAGTTGAAATAAAAAGTAGATTTTTAAATTACAATTATTCGTAGTAATATAGTATTATTAAAATTAAAAGACCATGACGTATCAAATAATTAAATAATTTTAATTACGTGAAAATCCCTAATAAATATTCAAACACTTCGTCGTAAAAGCATAATGTAGAGTTGACTAATAAAGTCTGTTAAAAATAAACCTTTACTACAGTACTCTGTTTTAGTTGTTAGCATTTCTTATACGTTATCATCATATTGTTGAACATAACATTACGTTATGTAAAGGCAATTAAAAACTTAAGGTAATTTTAATTTGAATGACATACTTACTTCTTATTCACTACAAAGTACCTGCTTTAAATAAGTCGTTTTAACACTGTACGCAGGCGTTTAATTAAGTCTTTGAATTAAATTTTTCATTGAAGTTAAGATTTTTAATATTTTACATTATTTGAAATATTAATTGTAAAACTGTAGAATTTCTATTTTACAGCCTTATATTGATTAAATTTAAGTAATGATCCAAAAAACTTAGTGCTTGTGCATAAAAATCAAAGCATTTCTTTTTTTACTCCCCAGCAGTAGGTAGTACATACTAGACAAGTGTATAATAATAAATATAATATAATATGAATAGAATCATTTTGTAAATATTTATATTTTTTAATGACACCGCTTAAATAATAGTAGAAATAATAATATAGTATTACAATCATAACTAATAAGTAATTGAAATTTGAGGGTGCAATTAATGAGTACATATTCTATTATTTTTCTAGAGTAGATAAACATAATAAAATATATAAATTATAGATTAAGTACATAAACATAATATTATAAAACAATAGTGCTATGATATTACGATATTATTTATATTTTATTGTTTTATTCTTTGTATTACTATTATGCAGAAAATTTACTGTTAACATACCTATGTAATGTAATTAGTGACTAATTATTATAAATGTCAACATTTTTATTGAATTTTATAAAATAATTCTAATAGGTAGTAATTTAGTTTATTAAATATGTATGGATTCCATTAAATTTATCGTGATAAATATTACTTTATACAAAATCACCAATAACTTAAACATTAATCTCGTGTATAAAATATAAGTACTACATTACAGTATTTATTATGTTTGATGTATACAAAGTCGAACGATCAAATACATACCTATAGACACCCATGATATGATAAAAGGCGTTTTGATATAAAGAAAAAAGAAATAAAATATATTCTCTAATGTTTATGAGTATGTTTGAGTATGACCGAGGGGTAAGGTTGTGTACTAGAAAATCTTATTTAATAGATATAATATATTGTTACATATTATATAAGAGAGTTTTTTTCAAGTATAAGAGCTTCCCACGCAAATTCTTTAGGTACTGACAGGTTTCAAATGCGTGGGTGCGAATGCGTGAAAATTTCCACTCTATAATGATGATTAATTTGATAATTCAAATGAACCGTACATGGCCAAAACGATTGAAATCAATAGCACGTAGTATAGGATCAAACGACCATAGTGCAAACGGTTACTCGCGCACAGAGAAACAACGACCGCTTTAATATGCATACATCAAAACCACGGATACGTTCAAGCCTGTATAGGCTTGATGTGCGATAAAAGGAAATCTGGCTTTATATTATTAATATATTGACGATTAATATTAATTTATAGGTACACGATTTTTTTTTTTTTACGTGGGAGCGATAAACAAAACAAAAATCATCAAAAAGCGTTTGATCTCGTAGAAAGTTTTAATTTTACGCGAAAATTTGGATAAACATTTTCATATGCAAAGAAATCTAAAGGAAACCGAAGTACAAAAGCTTACGTGTTAAAAATAATTACTGAAATTTAAACCAAAATCCAAACCCTAATTTACGTTTCAGAAATATTACGCTGCGTGATATAGTATGGTATCAATTATGGTCTAAAATGTCACTAATGATTAATATTTTGTCTACGTCTAACGATAAATCTTTAATCTAGTTAATACTATATATTATGTATATGTATTTTAAGTTAGAATGAATAAAAACACATTATTAAACAAAAACCAAAAAAAATTACGTAGGTATATTGACTTTTGAATTGTATTCAGAAAACTAGAGAAGATCATGCACGACATGCACCTACCAATTATATGAATAGGTATTATACTATCAAATCTCATAGTATAATGAAAAAACTTTAAAATTTAATATTACATCATTGTCTACTTTGATAGATACTAATTAAATAATTTACAATATATTATTATATATTATAACAAAAAAAATTCGAAGTTTAGACATAATATATAGCTAGCTCAAATTTAGACCTACCGATATTTAGAACAAATGCATTACAATCAATGATTTTTTTTTTTATAAATAAGTATAATAAACTTATTGCAAATAAGAGTATATTGGGTATGATGCATAATATAATTTAATCTAAATCATGGATGTATATATAAATAATAAGCGCACTGTAGAGATCACCTAGATCTGACATAGTGATATGATAAATCGGTTAATGTAGGTGTACTAAATTAGGAATAGGGATCGTGAAAGTTTTCCGGGACAGCTGAAAAAATGTGTAACGATGTGTTTTAAGAACAAATTATGAAATAATATTATACTATGTCGTCCAGTTGTCGCGCTGATAATAATATTGAAAAATATGATTTAATTAATTTTATTTTAAATTAAACAAAAAGAACAACAACTATAGCTATTTACTTGGTTAATGGTTTAGATCGTTTTAATTGGATTATTTACATTATACGTCATCGTATTACTTTGTCTTTACATAAACCCGACAGCGTTTAATAACGGAATATATATTAAACAGTATACACGCGCGACACGCGTATATATGCAATATTACCCGTGGGGCGACTCCGCGGTTAAGGCGACATTTAATTTCATTTTAATACATAAAAAATAAAATGTCACCCTGCGACGTTTCACACCACAACCACCAACGTTTTAAACGCTTTGCGGTGGCAACCTCAATCGACCGAAAACTCTCTAAAGGATATAATATATTTTATTAAATAGAATAGGTCAACGATCTCCATAGCGCGACACCGCTCGATAGTTGAAC